GCAATCTTATCTTCTATATCTGAAATTCTGTCCTCACATTGGCTCATTCTGCTGTGTAGACTTTCAGTGGAGTTTTTCATGTCCTGAAAATCTGTGTGCATCTGTTTTATGGATTGCATTTGTTTCCTATGTTGGGATTCCATTGTGTTCCTCAGCTCCTCTATTTTTTTTTTAATCTGTGTCCTCTCTAGATTTATTAATCATGTCTTGCCCTATGGGCACAATCTCTGCTGTTATGTGACAAATTACTTCTGATTTCATTTTTTCCAGATCCTCTTTTGTTGCTAGTTTAGGGAACCCAGGTTGTTGAGTATCAGAGTCTTCCATCTTGTTTCCCTTTGGGGTTGCTGTAGGTGATCTGGAAATCTAGTTCTGAGGCTTGTTTACATGTCTTCTCCTTTCGATGGTGGGTGGAGTGGGGGTGGAGCATGCCGCTGGCGCCCCCAGGGCTCACCTCCTCTGTGCTGGGAGCAGTGGAAGGTCATTAAACTCATGTATTAAGATTTTTATTTCAGCTATTGACATTTTAAGTTCTAGAGTTTCCAGGTGGTTTTATAGTTCCCAGTTGTATCCTGAAATTATCTCTCTTATCATTTAAAATTTTGAACCTATTAAATTACAGTTATTATTATTATTTGGTACTGGGGATCAAACTCAGGACCTTGTGCTTGTGAGGCAGGTGCTGGAACCACTGAGCTAGTTTCCTGGCCCAAATTACAGTTATTTTTAAGTCTATATCTAATAACTCCAAAATCTGAATTTTCTGTGGCTCACTGTTTGCTTGTTTTTTATTTAATCACTTTCCTCCAACAGGTCTTTGGTTTATTTTGGAATATGTCTGGTTTTTTAATTTTTGTTTTATTGTGAAAGTTGATCTATTTCTAATTATCCTAGTTTTATTCCCATGGCATATTTTCTAAGAATGATTCTTCTTAGTGAGCCATGAGTCCAATTTTTATTTCCCTACCCTAATGAGACAGTTTAGATCTCTAGTCATCCTCTTAGTCTCTGAGCTGTTGCTTACAATTCTGCAAAAACTTCACAAAGAAAATAACCAAATGTTATTTTGGGAATTTGCTTATCTTTCCTCAAATCCTATTGCCTTCATAATACTCTAATGCTTGTAAACAGATTTTTCTTTTGTCCATTTCTTCTAGATTATCTTAGACTAATGGTCAGTCTGATCTAAGCTTGCCTATCATAGTTGGAAGCAACATTTTGGGCCTCAGTATTCTTGAGTATAATGTATTGTACATATAAGAATTTTTTAATTGGACATTTATAGTATGAAGATTCTGGCCCTATTCTTTAGCACTTATATGGCCAGAGAAAACATATTTAGCCTCTCTGATCTGTGTTTTTCACATATAAATACTAGAAGTAATAATCTTCACTTCATTGGTGTTATGGCTTATATCTGAATGTCTCTCCAAAGCCTCATGCACTCCTAGGTGGGGCTTTTCAGAGCTGGCTGGATCTAAGGTTGGTGAATGTGGGATTAAGGGTATTTGGTACAAAGTTAGTCCACTGATTGGTTTAACATAATTCTGGGTGTGGATAATGGGAAGGCCCACTCTGGGTGTGAATGGCACCCCCCAAAATGCTTGTAGCCTGGATAGGATAAAAGGGAAAGAGAGATTTGTTTCACTGCTTGCTGCCTTCTTGCCTATCCTGCCATGGACTGTTTCTTCTCTGCAATTCCCCTCTGCCATGCTCCCCTGCCTTGGAGCCTGCCACCTATGGACTGAAACTTCTACAAACTGTGAGCTGAAATAAACCTTTAAAATGTGGGTGTTGGGCATTTTGTCTTGGTAATGAGAAAAGCAATGAAAACAACTAATTTGTTTTGAAGGTTAAATGAGGATTAAACAAAAAATGTACATAATTAGCATAATGTCTAAAACATTCCGTACATTTATAGATGGATATTTTACTTTTTTTCTTCCCTCATTTCTATGGTTTAGATGAGTGTCACTCAAAAGTTCATATGTTAGGGCTGGGGATTTAGCTCAGTGGTTCCAGTGTTGGCCTCGCAAGCACAAGGCTCTGAGTTCAATCCCCAGTACCAAAAAAAAAGTTCATGTGTTAAAGGCTTGGTCCTCAGGACAGCACTATCAGGAGGTGCTCCTGTGGAACTATAAGAGGTTGGACCTAATGGATGTTCCTTAGATCCAAGGGGATTGTGGGACCCCAGCTTCTTCCTATATTTCTTTGCTTCTTGGGGTTTTTTTGCTACCAGGGATTGAACTCGGAACCTTGTGCTTGCAAGGCAGGCATTGGAACCACTGAGCTAAATCCCCGGCTCTTTGCTTCTTGTTTCATGAGATGAGCAATTTTCTCTCCCATGTGTTCCTACTATGATGTGTTCCCTGGTCAAAAGAAATATTTTGACCGAGCCTCCCCTGATCTTGGACAGGAACCTCCAGAACTATGAGCCAAAGTTATACTTTTCTCTTTATAAGTATCTTGATATAGTAATGAAAAGCCAACAAATACATTAAGACAATAGTTAATATTTCATAATTCATGACGGTGCAAAGTAATGCAATGTGATTATTTATGTAAAACTTCTCATAGATTGTAATGCACTAGAGAAATAACAGAAATAATATTTCTGAAGCATATTTATTAGTTTGATGTACTAGGCACAGTGCTAAATATTTATATCATTATATCACTCCATATTTATAATAACTTTAATTATGCTTATTGTATAAATGAAGCTGGGAGATATTAATTACTTTTTCAAGATTAATAAGAAACCCATATTTAAATTCAACTCTGACTAACTCCATATCTGTAGTTATCAATTTTCCTTTTGTCTAATGTCACTGAACAAATTTTCTTTTTCCTAGTTAAGGAAAAACATCAGTTTTGTAGAATCTTATGCAAGCTCTAAAATCATGTAGACACCCAGTATATGTTTATTGACTAATTGATATTCACACCAATAAAATCTGTTGACATAGTAGTAATAGAATGAATAACAATTCAAAGCCAGGTCATCTTTAACTTCCAACCACAGAAATGAAAAATAATTAGGATGGGCTAATGTAAACTGAGAGTGACAAGTTGAGAATTTTCTCATAAGAAGAAGTTTGTTCTTCTTGTTTTTTTTGTTTTTTTGGTAATAGGGATCGAACTGAGAACCTTGCACTTGCTAGGCAGGCGCTGGAACCACTGAGCTAAATCCCTGGCCCCTAAGCAGAAGTTTTGATCTGTGATCTAGAAACCAGCCCTCACTGCCATCTGTAGTCTCTAGATTATCAGTCCAGATTGACTATGGCTTGGGTCTATGGTGCAGTTTTTCTGGTACTTACATGTGAGTCATTTTACTCAAATTGTAGAAGGAATGTGATTCCAGCCGCTGCAGAGTTGCGTCTATAGACAAGTAGCTGAACATCACAAAAATACAAGACAAAGTAGAAAGTTAGTACAGTTGTGAACTCCAAATGTTATTTTTGATGTAACTTCTTTGTCAAGGGCTTCCCAGATCATGCAACATGCACAGGCTGCGTGCATTCTAATTATGTGAAAACTAATTACTACTTTTTTCCCAGATCCCATGATGCCTAAACTTTCTCAATACTTTACGTCTTACTCATCCTGAGGTCTCAACAGTCATTCCTGTTAGAAGATTTCTCCCAACTTCCTGATAAGTTTAAAATTCCTGTGGTATACCATAACAGTATCACAAACTTCTCCTTTCAGTAATGACCACAGTGCACCCTTCCAGTGGTTTGGATATTTGATGTATTTTATCTCATTATGTTAAGTTCTGTGAAAGGAAGATTGTGTGATTTGACCAGTGAATCTTGAGTGCCTTTTATAGTTTTTCGTGTGTAGTAGATGCTTAATAAATATGTTAAGCAATTGAATAAATGAATAAATAGATATGTTACTCGAAATAGCAAAAATAAAAGCATTAGAAAGTTACTTAAAAAAGATTAGGGAATAGGGCCGGGGATTTAGCTCAGTGGTTCCACTGCCTGCCTCACAAGCTAAGGACCCGAGTTTGATCCCCGGTACAAAAAAAGAAAAATTAGGGAACATTTTAAAGATAGAATTTAATCACATAGGATTAGAAATAAAGTTTCTAAAAGGATGAAGAGAAAAATCACAATTCTCTAGAAGAATCTTTGACAGAGTTGTGACCACATATTCTCCCATGACCTTTCTTCTGGATTTGGAATAAGGTAGAAAATGTAAGAGTCACTTTGAATTTTATAAGCAAAAGATAACTCAAATCAAAGTTTTAAGTGCTAAAAGAAAAGTAAAGATAAACTCCTACACAGAGCTTTTCAGGAATAGATAAGGAAAATGTTTTAAATAGTTTACTCACATTCCATCTTGTAATGAGAATGACTAATGCAGTCAAATTCATTGAACATTTTAGAATGTCATAGAGGCATTTCTATGACATTTGAGAAAGTTAAGGAGTAACAGCTGGTGCCCAGCCCTGGTCATAACACAGATTCTCAATCCTGGACACACAATTGAACTACCCAAAGAGCTTTTAAAATACTCCTATAATCAAGATCTGGTCCAGGATAATTAAATCAGAGTTTATGAAGAATGGATCAGGCAGTTTTACTTTTCAAAAGCTTCCTAGGTGATTATAATGTGCAAGAAAGGTTGAGATCCATTTTGAAATGAATCTATTAGTAAAATATTGTCATCAACACAATGTTTATAAGAAGAGCACTAATTATTCCATACTGAGTCTTTAAAATCATGTTTGAGTATTATAATGGTCCCGTGCTTTTCTTTTGAATTACCTGTTCTTTAAACAATTAACTTTTCATTGATCAGGTCTCCTAATTCTTTACCCTGTGTATAGCAACATTATATAATTTATTTTATTCCACATATTATTTGCCTATCATAGAGGGAACAATGGAACACATTTTAAATGATTAATTTATAGTTTAAGGACTGCAAGAGTTTGACCATGGGTGCAAGTGAGTCACCCAGAAGCCAAGAGTCTTTTCGAAGGCTGCCAATTTGCTTCCCTAAGTTTGCAGCATAGCCATTGCTCCAAATTCTCTACTGAAATTCTTAGTTAAAAAGTGTGAGCTTTTCTGAAGAATTTAGAGAGACAGTCCTTCAGTCACATCATGGGGACCAAAATTCTTCTTTCTCCAACTTAAAGGCACCTCCTTTCATGGCTGTTAAATATAGTTGTGAGGACATGTAGGGACCATTTATTCAGCGGGATAAAGTAGTGATACCTGCTTACTTTATCCCACTTTAAAACTGAAAAAAAGGGCCAGGGATTTAGCTCAGTGGTTCCAGCACCTGCCTTGCAAGTGCAAGGTCCTGAGTTCGATCCCTGGTACCAAAAAAAAAAAAAATACAGTTCAGCGTAAAACTGGAAAAAAATCAGATTCCATCTCATCTTCAAATCTCTTCTTATCATGTCAATCTTGTGTAATTACTATAATGACTATCTCATTTATTATCCCAAATAGGATATTTTGTGCTACTAGTATGCCAGAATAACAGATGGGAATTTGCTCTGTATCAGGTATCATTCTGTATGTAGATCATTCTGGTGAGTGCTCCTTCTGCCCTGAGATATACCATATCTTTATTATTCACGTATATGTATTTGTTTTCACTTAACAAATATCTATTGAACATTTGTTTTATGTCAGATGCCTGGCTGGAAACTGGCAAAACAAACTTTTCTCTAGCTTCAAGGAATTTCCAGTAGTGGGGGATACAGACAAGTAAATGGAATTAACAGAGCAAATGTTAAGTGTTTTCAAAGGGTATAGAAAAGACACCCAGAGAATCCAACATTTCAAACCCCTTCTTTACATGATCGGTAAGACTCCCTCTCAGTTGTTTATTTGTTTGTTTTTGTGGTACTGGGGATTGCAACCAGGGCCTGTACATGCCAGGCTAATGCTCTAATCCTCAGCTACATCCCTAGACTTTTTCTTTTTTAGATAAGGTCTGGATAAGTTGCCCAGACTGGCCTTGAATTTCTAATCCTCCTTCCTCAGCCCCTGGAGTAGCTAGAATTACAGGTGTGTGCCACTATACCTGACTTTCTTCTTATAATTCCTTTCTTCCTTCCTTCTCTCTTCCACTTCCCTCTCAGCCTAAGCTCCAGTCCCAACAAAGGTAGTCTAATTCCTCAGAACTCTAGATTTTTTTCTCCTGTTTGGAACTTCTTTCCTCATATTTTTTGCTGGATAATGCAGATCACAGGTTCAGCAGCATTTCTTTCCAGAAGCCTTCTGCAGCCCTCTCCCTGCTCCCGTCCAGGTAATGGGCAATTCAACCTCTCTTACAAGTACACGTTACGTCCAGTAACTGACCCCATCACGGCATTCATGGCTCCCTTAGGAGTGAATGGAAGCTCTGTATTGTCTGCTGTTATATTTGGACCATCTTACAAAATGCTAGGCACCTAGTAAAAATATTTGTTTCTTTTCTTTCAAGAAATATTTGTTGAATGAAGTAAGAGCTAAGCTGTTGGTACATCCACGTGGAGACAAGCAGACAGTTGTTTAAGAGAGGTGAGAGAAAAGGAAGCGATAAAAGGAATTTGAGGTTTTTAGGTTTCAAGATGCTGAATGGTAGGGCTATTAAAAGGAGGAATAGAGAAGGAAAGTCTGGGCCAAGAAGATGTGTTTATTTGGGATGAACTGAATCACAAGTGCTTGTGGGGCATTAAGTGTTGATATTTGGAGGGAAGTTTTCAATGAAAGCTTGAATTGTAAGGGTGAATGGGGCCTAGAGATACATGCTTAGGAATTAACTGTATTAGATGATAGTGAGGACAAAGGAATGGAGATGTTGGTGCAAGGGGAGTAGGGTATAGAGGAAACAAGACAAAATACACAGAAAAAGACCTGATATTTCAGGGACTGGCAAAAATGTTAAAAATGAGAAGTCAGGAAAGGAGACCGAGGAAAAGTCAGGATGAGATGATAAGTGTGATGAGAGAGAAGTAGCAAAGAAACCAAAAAAGGCGAGAATTTTAAAAAGGAAGTGCTGATTAGCAACATCAAAGACTGCAGAGAATTTAAATGAGAATGATTTCTCAGCCTCAGCACTGCTGGAGGTTTTTACTACAGTTGTCTGGGGTGGGGTGGTGGGCTGTCCTGTACCCTGCAGGATGCTCGGCAGCACCCTTCTCCTCTACCCACCAGATGCCAGTAACAGTTCCCGCTCCAGGTCTGACAACCAAAAATGTCCAGTGTCAGAACTGTGTCTAAGTGAGAAGTAGTAAAGTGGCAAAACAAACACTCAGTCAATGGTTGTGAAATGAATAAACTTAGCCAGGAATTGTACAGGTTGCTCCTGGTGGTGTCCTTTGGTATATGTGAATTACTTGCATTGCATGTCAGAATTAATGAAATGAAATAAAGACACACTATATTTGTCAGCCTAACATGGAAGTTCTTTTTCTCCTAACTGGGTACATGGCAATTCAGTTTTCAAGGTTGAAAATTATTTTTAATTCTTTTATTTTCTTTTTTTGAAGTATAAAAGTCTGAAGCCATTGGCTACATTTTTGACCAAATGTAAGCATTTGTGTTAGTGTTGAAAAGTGAGTCAACTGGTAACCAGGATAAGTGGATTAGAGAACAGCATATGTGTCTGTTTATGGAAGAGAGTCCCAGATAAAGGTCCTCCACATTACAAGATATACTAAAATAAACCAAGAATGATGAACTTCTCAGGACCAAATCCATTTAAATTTGCTTTAGGTTTTTAAAAAATATCTATGAATTAGTAAGCAGAGATGAAGCAAAATTAGACAAATATCAAGTACATAAAATTTTCAAATACATTAAAATATAAATGCCACTGACATTTGCAAGTAGGACAATAAGTACTTTTCTTAACAGAACACATTTTAGAAAGTAGCATGTCACAACTGCCAACTTCTCTTTATATGAAAAAAATGACTTACATCCTGGAAATGTTGGGCAGATTGGAAAACGCATGACTGGGGATGGTTCTCAGATGTGTCTCTATGAGCTTCCTAGGAGGAAAACGACAGTGACACAGTTAGAGTTTTCATCATTGGTCTTTTTGGATAACTCACCTGAATTATAAAAGATACATTAGTAGATGCATCATAGACCTCTCATCATACATGATCAACACAAATAATGCTCAATGAAAAGCTGTCATTCCTCCTGTGCCGGTGTGGGTTTACAGATAAAGGCTTTAACTGGAAGGTAGGAAAAGACAGGAAAGGACCTGGGTGACTACTGGTTCAAGACAATGGCTGGCGACTTCAAAGCATTGCTCCAGGGAGAGGCTCTGGAACTGGACATTCATTGCATGTCCCTGAGAATCTTGGAAATCTCTTTAGTTACTCTTATTTTGATGTCCTCTATCTTGAAGGAGGATGACACTGACTAGGTAAATTTAAGGCTAATAAACTTTGTCCTGACATAGTTTAGATAGATACTTCCTATATGACTAACATGTCTATTTGCAGAGCTGAAAAGAATTTGACCCAGAGTTGTACAAAATGACAAGCTTTGTTTTGCTTTTAGTTACTTATTGGGCATTTGTAGGGCTGAGTAAAGAGTTGCGGTATTTAGCAAAAACCACGTTTAAGTTCCTATCTTAGAATAAAACACAAATCATGCTTTTAATGAGTAACAGATTAAGGATGCAGGAGGGAGTTTGTTCTTTGTTCCTATGGTGGTCTCTGACTATCTCAAAACATACAACTTTTCTTCCCCAACAAGATAAGTATGGAGAGTAAGATACAGATGCAGCAAATAAATATTCATCTATGGATTAAAGGTCAACTAGTATGCCTAACATCACATTTCATTTGTTATCTGAAGTGCATAAAATACATTCGTAAGTATATTAGGACTTCTGACTTCATATCATGCACTTGTCACTAAAAATAATTTGGAATGCTGACAAGAATATACATTGAGTACCTATTAAGAGGAATTAAACACATTTATCTTAAATATTAGAAATACTGATATTTTAGAGTTACAATATTTTCCCAAGCAAAGGTCTCTTCAACCATTACCAAGAAAATGTCACCTATTTGCTGCAGTTTAGAAATAACTGACTAGTAAGGAGCTACTTCTTCCTTAGAGGCTTAAGACATCTTTGTTGGATGTGTAACTTAAAGGTGTGGCTTTTCCTCCAGTCTGCTTTTTTGGATACAACTTCAGAATGCTGAGACTGTTTTCCTTACAAGTAAGGAAGCCTCTTCATGCACTCCCCTATGTCTCTTCACCAGGCATTCCTTTTCTGAATTCCCCTCCTTATGTGTTGACGATTTGAATGAATCCCTAGGGGGAAATGTGGTCTGCTGTCCTAACTCACTTTGCAAAAGGACAGTGCCTCAGTATTAGTAATCATCTTCTCCTTTTGTCTGTTTTTGTCATTTAAATATTGATACTCAGGCCACTTAGTAGTATCTTCTTTATAGATAGGATAATAATATTATGGATTTTTCCCTCTAGGCTGCAGCGCTATTCATGGGTGATCTATTTCCTTGATCTATGCTTTCCTTGAACTATTCATTTTTGCAGTGCTTAAAATGCACCTGTAATTTGCCTAATCAAAGCATCAGCAGGCAAGGTTACTTATGAAAGGACCTATTAATTTATGTATATGGGAAGGTGATAGGAATAGCACAAGGGTACTATTGTTTCACCATAAAGCCCAAAGTTGTTCTAACATAATTTCAGACGTTCAAGTCCCACAGACTATCTGTCCTCTCTTGAAGTTCTGCCAGTCACATTCTCTTAACTGGGTTGATAGAGCAAAATAGAAGACAGATAATAGGAAGCAGAGAGATAGATGTTTCTCCAATAGAAAGTGGAGGGGGAAAGAAGGGGAGGAAGGGGGAGAAAAAAGTATGAAAAAAATGAATTAAGGTGTGTTATGTATATGTACCAGCTCCATATAGGGAATGTGAACATTATGTCCTGAAAACATATGTAAAAATGAAAAAAAATTTATATGAATTCAGATCCTGGATTTTGATGTTAAAAGAAAAATATGAGAAGAGCAAGTTGTTCTACTAAAATCTCAGTGTAAAATTGGGCCATGCCAAAGGAAAACAAACAATAAGATACACACCTGTTGAGTATCATCTGAAAAGATCGAGTTTCTTAAACATAAAGGTAGTTTTACAGAGCTATCCTAAGGCAAAAATCCTGAGTACATACTTTCTGTAAGACTGCACACATTGTGTGTAGGTAATGAGGGCCTAAATTATAACTTTCATTGACTAAAAGTTTTGGGATTTATCCTATTTTCAAAAGTAAATAACATGTAGAATTAAATAGAAAATTAGAAAAAAGTTACAGTGATTACTAAGAAGACAGATATGGAACAGAACTAGTATACAAATACAATTGGAGTTAAAGGTTCAAATAATGTACAAATTCTTCCCCAAAGTAAGAGTTTTTGAAATCTATAGTATCTGTTTCTTGAAGTCTTTTTCCTGCACACACACACACACACACACACACACACACACACACACAAGCCCATCATTACACATAGACCAGTAAGGATTATATAATTAAGAGTAGCTGTATCAATAATAATACAATATGCACAATAAATCTTCACCAAAAGTAAAAGAAGGAATGTTGGCCGTCCTGCCTAGGATGAAAAGAAATATCTATTTGCTAGATGGACTTAGTTAATGTTGTAATGATCATAACACAGGGTGAGGCAGAAGACAGATTTCAATAATGTAAATGAAATATCAGAATGACAACCAAGCATATAAATTGCAAAATTTAATCTCAAGTTAATAATTCATATACAGTGGTACCTCAGTTCATGAACTTAATTTTTTCCATGATTCTGGTTGCAAACTGAATGGACAAGAACCAAATCAAATTTCCCCATAAGGTCAACATTGAACCAAACCATTGAATTTGATTGGGTTCTTGTCCAGTTAGGTTTGTAACCAGAAAAGTGGAAAGAATTAAGTTTGTGAACCAAGGTACCACTGTATTTTTGCCAAGGTATATTCATTGCATTATGCCCATAACATTGAAAAACAAACACAAAATTGAATTTATGCTAGTTTAAATTTCTTTTACTTTCCTTATTTTAAAAAAAGTTACTAGTCTGGTTAACCTTATAAAAACATTAATTAGAGGCATCTATTTCTCTTCAAATAAAAAACAAAACTGATTGGTAAGGACATAGCATATAGTTAAGTAGATAATGAAGATACCATATTTACTTACAGATCTCTTGTTCTATTTTTTCCTTAATAGTTTTACTATAAGATGAGAGTTGAGGAAAACAAATTATTGTAATATGTGGCTACCTTGCTGATTTTCAGCTGACCTCAGATACATAAGCAATAACCCTTAGTGAGGTTTTGTAGTTGTTTTTCTATGTAGCAGTTTTATACCTAGAGATACTCCTTCCTTTCTCTCTCTTTCCCTTCTTTCCTTCCTCCTTTCCATCTTTCTTTCCTTCCCCAAACACTGATTCTAAGCTCTCTGAACCTTTGTTTCCAACTGTAACTTCTAAGACCCCAAATGATTTCCTTTTAATTTTTGTAGTTTCTGAATTTGAATTGACTTGCACTGAAGTAAGAGTTATATTTCTCAAATGTCAAAAGAGTTAAATTTCTCAATGCATTTGGAAGATATAATGATGTAGAAGCAGAAATTCATGTGAAACATCACCAGTTGACTTGGACATTTTGCAAAATATGATCCAGTTTTAAGAAAGTACTGCCTTTTTATTTTGCAGTAGGAACGGGGAAGGAAAATCTGGTTAATGCTATTAAAGACAGCAGATATTTCTCTATGTTCCAACAAGAACAAACTGTGTAATTAGATTTTCCACAGTAATCTTGAATGACACTAGGCTTATTTCACTGAAATGTCACCAACATGTAAATCCAATCAACATTCCAACATCTTGTTTCTTACAGTGTAAGGAAACTAAGTTTGTTCATTTTTATCTATGAAATAAACTGACAATAAAAAGATTAATGGGGAAAACATACAAATTTATTAACATGCAGAAATACAGGAGCCACACATTAAGAATAAGACTCAAAGACTAGAAAGTTCTGGGGTTCCTGGAGGGAGGGAAGCATGGGTTGTGGACGTTAGTTGAGGTGAGCAAGTTATCTTATTATGTAGATGAAGTCTCAAGAAGCAACCTGCAGAAGATCTGGGTGCTGGAAATAGGGTAGTCATCTCTCTGGACCAGATACGATCTTCACTTTCCTTCTTCCTGTGATTCCTAGCCAGATGTGTGGGGCTCTCTCAGGAAGGAAGCTTCTGCTCCACTAGCTGCTTATTCCATGAATGTAGAGAGATATAAATTTCTTTTATACAGGGGGAGCCTTTCAGTGCTAACCTTGTGCCTGCAGTTTATACAAATAATCATCTCAAGCTAAGTCAAAGAAAGTTATTTCAAGGTGGTATAGACTGGAGTTCCACAACAGTTTATAGAATCTTAAGTACATTGTGTTTGCTATTGCAGCCTCTACTTGATGAAGATGTGAAGTATGAGGGTGAGCATGACTGAATTTGAGAAGGCTGGTTAATCTTTGCCATGACTAATCCGGTGTGGTCCAGAACACCACCCTTCCCATCTGTGTGGCATATTTCTGTTGTCCTAGCAAACAGACTGAGAATATTTGCAATTCTGAATCAAATTTATTTGTTTAATATCAATGTGATTTGCATTCCAGGAGCCTCCTGTTGTATTAAATACTGCTGGGCTGGACAGCAGAATTGCAGAGGCCAATGATGCAGGTTATAAAAGAATTTATCAATATCAGAATTTTAAAAAGACAACAGTTTTCTTTTTCCAGATTAGAGTACTGTGTCAAAAGTGATAGAAGGCAACTTTCCAAGAGAGGAATTGTGCTCTTGGGATGAAAGATTGGGGTTTTTATGAAGATTTGAGGATATGGAAAAAGGATCTATCCTGCAAATCTAAATATTGCAGGAATGTTTTTTTTCCTGAGTTGCCTGGTTCCTGCTGACCTTTCAGAAACAC